AAAAGGAGAAAGAAAGAGGGAGATGTTCTGTTATTAGAAAAATATTTTGGTATTTATATATTTAATCTGCATAATATTAACTTATATATATGACTATGGATATTTTTGCTTTTATTTGGAATTTGTTTCACTATACTCTATTATATATTGGTATATCTTAGATTGAAAACAATTGCATGAATATTATCTTTCGTCTTAGGATGTACTGTATCATTTTTTTATATTACCGTTATATTATTGAGATATCGTAGCATTTAAGTATTGAATAATATATAAACAAAAAAATTTAAGTCCGAATATTGTAAAAGAAAATGAAGATTGACATTAATTTATTTTTCTTTATAGGGAAGAATTGCATATGCTTGAATTAGGTACTGATGAAGATGAGCCTATGGCTGTTGCTTTATTGAAAAATGAATCCATTGGTTCTAAACCAGTACCCATGGCGACTGTGCGCAGTTCTAAACTCGCAGCAATGGCAGCGAATATTAATAAATCTCAAGATGAACATGATACTGATATGAACATCCCAACTGAATTGGAGGATGACATGGAAGCTTCGGACAATGATGCATCAATGGTGAAACTAGAAGATATCCTAATTGTCCCGGAAATGCTTAATGATAATATTGAAAATAATATTGAGAATAAGCAAGATAATAACAACAAATCTAATAAAGCTACTAAGAGACTTAATCAAATCGATGGTGGGAAAAGTGTTTTAGTGAAAAACAATAATGAACAATTCAATGAAAACAAAATGATAAATTGTCCACAAAAAGAAAATAACAGTGATAAGACAGATGCAAGTTCATCGAAAAATTTATCTGTGAGCTGTGTTAATTTTTCTGGAAAATCTGAAGCTAATTACAGGTTAGAACCAACGTAAGTCCAATATAGACCATGAATAATATAATATTATTATTATTAAGAATAATAATTTCTACTCAATTTTATAGTAGAAATTATTAAACAGGTGAAAATTCTGTTTTATCTTTTATATTGAATATAAATTTCTATATCTTGTCACTTTCTTCAATTTTATATATTAATCTAATTTTTAGATTGTTTTTTTATAAATCAAGTAAAATAATATTATATGTAATATTCAAAGTATTTAAGAAATGACAGAATTTAAAAAATATTTTTTATGTATCTCTTGAAAATTATTGTCTTATCTTTTTACGAAAATGATTATTTTCTAGATTTTATCTAGGAGTAATATTCTATTCAGTTTTTACATCTAATTTTTTATATACAAATATTTAATTTTTTTTTTGTTGATAATTTAGGGAGGAAATGGATTCTCATCTGGAAACAATACAGAATGATTTGGGCAATTTGCATGAATATGTACTTGCTGAAAAGTATAATATTGACACTAATGTAGCTAATATATTTGGGGTAAATATAATATTAAATTAAGATATTTTCTAAATATTGGAATAAGAAAAAAAATGTTTGCAAAAATGATAATCAAATGATAAAAATCTTTCCTTTTTTTTCTTTCTTAGAAAAAAATACATTTGTAGTAAAAAATTTTGATATTGATTTTTTTTATTGTAGCAGCTATTTAGTGGAGATGAACTATTTGGATTACCAATTAATTCAGAGTTGGCTCCAAATTGTGGACGAGAAGATGATGATAATATAAGTAAGATTTAACAATTTTTATTACATAAACATAAATCCTAAATTTGATTTCAAAATTCACATCTTAATTTTAATAAATAAATTTTTGATTTGTAATTTAAAATATTTTATTAAATTTTGTAAAAAAATTATACGTGTATGTGATATTTTTTTATATTTATGTTTACCTAGATTCTAATTTAAAATATAAGAAAAACAATGTTTTCTCTTTTCTATTTATAGTAGTATTAGAAAATTTTGAATTTTTTAATTGCAAAAAATTAATAAAGGAAATAGAGCAGAAATAATTTATAATTTTATACATTATCAGATGTTACCAATGGATCTACTGGTGGGGAATTAATGACATATAATTCATCATCTAACCTACTAGATTTTGATGACATATTCTTGGAAAATCCATCGTTATCGAATCCAGATTTACCTACAAATAGTCAGTATTCAGATTTAGATTTAGAGGAAAGTAAACTTCTTGATTCATCTGATAAATAATGTAAATCCAAAATCATAAATTTGTTAATTATGATTTATAGCTTTCTTGAAACAAATCAATTTAAAAGTTTTCTTCAGTTTCTAATTTTTTTAAAGTTTAACCATACATTTTTAATATGTATTGGGTTTTCTATATTTATAAATATGTAATAATCTATATTATTTTATTAAAATTATCTTTTCAATCTGTAAACAAATTAGATCCTCAAAATTTTAATTAGGTTATAAAAGGATACATTTAGTTTTACAAAAAAACATATTTGCTTTATTTAATATGGGTTGATCACTGTTATATCCAATTCTTTGTTTTCAATAGACTTTATTGTGTATGGTTAAATATAAACAGTACCTTTAATCAACAGACATAACTATAAAAATTAAAATAAAAATTTTAATATATTTTGCAATCATAAAAGTATTGTTAATTCATGTAATGTTGGATATCATGATTATCTTTATAGGACAATCTTTATAGATAATACATTTACCATTGAAAATTAATTGGATTTACATTATAATAGATCTGATTAAAATGAATATCTCTGTTTAATATGAAACAAATTTATATTATTTTTTTGTCTTGTTGATATAGATTAGTAATAACTCTCTTTGCAGATTTAAATAAGAAAGTAATTCAACTGTAATACAAATGTAAATATCTTGATTGTAAAATTGTTTATTTTATTATAAAATCAAAGCCATAATATGTCAAAAAAATTAGTAAAATTTCTACTTTGCCATAACAATTTATAAATGTATGTGCATAGTATTTAAGTTTCAATTATACCTTACTATAATTTTGTAAATTTTGAATAACGAACTAATGATAAAAATTACTTGATCAGGGTGTAATAGTTTGAGATTTAATTAAAGTTTTACATTATTTTTATGTATGTAAATAAATTGGAAATTCACACATCATTAGTGTACATTATGGTTATATAATTTACACAATATGAATATAGAAAACCTTATCAGGAATTGAATTAACTATAAAAAATCAATTTTTGTTTTACAATGTATTACAGATAAATACTTTGAATGCTTATGTATGTATGTATATAATAGAAATATTAAATGAAAAAAGATTATAGGTTAAGAAATACATCCTTGCTATTGTAATCGGTGCACTTTATCTTTCTGGTATAATTTGAAAAATAAATGTGATTCTCGATTATATAATATATATAGTGTTTTATATAAGATATAAGTGACATTAAATATTTCATAATATTTTATATCTGATTTATTCAAGATTTTATGAATAGCATCTTATTCTTTATAAAATTTTTATTTAACATTATATATTTTGTTTGGAAAAAAATATTAAAAAATAATAGACTTGAAAATTAATAGACTTGAAAATTAAATAAATTTAGAGCTATATATAAACATAAAACTTTAATTGCGATCTTCTTTTTTACATAATACCTGTATATTATTCTTTTTTTATTATATGTATTGTATATCTTATTTATCTCTTTTTTTTTCTAGATAATTATTTGTGAATATTTAATTACTTGAAAAAAATAGTATAAAGGATTAGATAAAGTGCACTGTTACAATTCTTTTTAGCCTACTGTGAAATTCTATAAATATATATTTCTGTATGATAACAATTAAAGATAGGTTGGAAAATAAAATATTTAAAACAGACAAAAGTTACAAGAAAGCAAACATAATATTACTAAAAAATAGATAATGAAATGATCATTGTTATTTAAAATTTTGCAAATTAACAAATGTGAAATTATCAAAAAAATTTGTTTTTTTTTGTATAAAATTTTAAATAATTTCCGAAAAAGATGTAAGAAATATAAATACAATATAAAATAATATAATATTTTTTCGTATACTATATAAAACATTAAAATATAAGCTCATAAGATTGAAAATTTGGCATAAAAGGAAAGTTGTTTTTCCTCAT